TTGCATCCATCTTTTGTCCTATTTTATATGCTTCTTGTTGATAATCTCTTCACTCAACCTTATGAAGAGATTTGCTTTTATTTTTATTTAAAAATTTGATACTTTTCATGGGTGGATATTTAATACACTTGGGGAGATGGTATCATAAGAGTCTTTTTTATTTATTTCTTTTATAGAATGCAACGGTTTGAAGTGTTTTACCCTTGAGCATGCCAAGTTTCCATATGAGAGATTCTCCAGTTCTCTTCCTATTGCTGGTCATAATCTGTGTGTTTTTCTGATTACCTACTTCTGAAATATTAATACAATAGTTTTATAGTACATAACACTATTATAACTTCTAGTATCTACTAGAATATGTTTATCCTGACCTACTTTGGAAATGGCCAGAGAAAGAATGAAAATCTCTCCAAGGAACTTGGCCCACAACCAGGACTCTGAACTTTGCAAAGCCTTCTTAGCCAGATTTCATTAATCCTGTGGTAACGGGCTGGTCTTTCCTTAGAGGAGGTGCTGATTGTGGCTCCTCCATGACTTTCCCGTCACTGTGTATCAGAGAGGGTAGATCATCTGTTGTTTTTATTCTTAGGTCACTGGCCCTTGGGGACATACAAACAAACCTGGACAGAGTGCTTCAGCACTCACTGCTGTGACAACAATCACTGTCACGTGTACATGGCCTAGAGGCGCACAAGAGTCAATAAGCTCCTCAATACATGCAAACAAGCAAGGACAAGTAATAAGCATTGGAAATAAAAAATAATGGCACAGAATGAGAATCACCTGGAAACTGAGGACTTTCAACTAGATCTGAGCCATCTCCTTGTACAGGGACAGGACAAAATGAATATTTCATGGCTGAAAGGGTGAAGTGTATCAGATAAACTGCTACACATCTATCAGTGTCTTTTCTTACCTTTCTTGGGTGTAGAGAGGGACCAGGCTTCTCATTCATCCGTAAAGTTCGAGGGGAACCTGTCCTGCTATTTGCTAACTTTTAAGGAAGTGCATTTATGCTCACAGCTCCTGGGCAATGTCAGCTCTGTGTCTCTAACCATTCCCCACTCCTAGGATTCTACAGAACAGTTGAAAATGACAGGAAGAGTTGAGTACATCTTTCCCACCTAAGCTCTTTTCGTGGAGAGAACACACACTTGACAGTTGAATTATGTTTCATAACTTTATTACAGGTAATCATTTAGAGTTTATTACTTTTTAATGCGAATACTCCATGTGTTAAGATTCACTTTCTGATTTGTAGAGTAGATTCTTATTAATAAATAAGGGAAGTGTAGGGCATATGTAATTTTTTCCCTTTGATATAGAAAAAAATCTTGTTTTTCCTAGTTGAAGCCAAGTTTTAGTAAAACTAGTATATTTTAATTCAAAACTTTTATGTTTAGTTTCCATTTTAGGTGAGAAGTTGGATTTCAGTCTGATTCTTGCAAAAGATGTTGATTACTGTGGATCTAACCTCCTTGTGTTATGCTGCATATATTTTAGATCTTATTTCTTTGAGTTTTTTTAACTATATGCTGAGAGGTGGAGTGGGGGTGAAGCTGTCACCCAGCAGGAGAAAGGCCCAGGGGCCAATCCCCTTGCACTGCAAAACAAACAAACAAACAAATAAAACCAGTCGAATAAGCAAGCCGTTATGCTGAGATACATTTTCAGGTTGAGCTTCCAATTCACTAACATAATCTTTACCAGTGACAAATCCATTACTCAGCTTGATACTGTTGGTATAACTTTTGTTTCCATTGCTTTTGAGGTTGGTTTTAAAGATAGAGTCTTGCCCTGTCTCCCAGATTTGCCTCAAACTCCTGGGTCAAGACAATCCTCTAATTTCAGCCTCCTGCATATGTGGTTGTAACTTTGCAATTTGGAAACATGTTTTTCAAAACATCCTTTAATCCAAATGAAAATATGAATTCAAAATAAATAAAATCCTTCTGTGACCAATATCAGCTCAGACTCCTCTGATGTTAGTTCTATGTATTATCTTGCTCTCCTCTGATGTTTCCCTTTCATGGTATTAGAGCCTTAAAATTATTTTTTATTTCCAATGCTTATTACTTTTCCTTGCTTGTTTGCATGTATTGAGGAGCTTATAGACTCTCGTGCGCCTCTAGGCCATGGGACTCTGTACATGTGACAGTGATTATTGTCACAGTAGTGAGTCCTGAAGGCACTCTGTCCAGTCAGCTAAAATATTTCTGGTTTCCAGGTTCACCACAGAGGTTCAGGAGGGCAGCATGGTGGCCGGTCCTCCACTGCAACAGCCCAACATCACCAATTCCAGGACTCTGGGAGAACTCCATGGCCTTCAGGCTCAAGCTGGCCCGCAGGGCTGTGCTTGCAGCACTCTAGAATCAAATGTTGCCTTCACGGTGGGGCTCCCTGAGCTGTGGCCGTGGTGTTGGCAGTGGGCTGGGCACCCGGCAGCTCAGGTCCAGCTGCTGCCTTTTGATGTCACCCGGGCTCTTACTCTAGCAGAGCTGTGTTTCTTTTATTTATTAAAACATCATTGCTAATTGGAAAGTTCTGAACTTGCAGCTTCCCTTATTTTTTATTTTATTGAGCCTTAGAAAGTCTTTAACATGGTCAATGTTGATGTACAACATGATGGACGGAAATACACATATACTGTTGAGCACCTGAGTTGACATAGCTTAGCTTTACCTGATACACTTATCTGTCATTGTAAGAACATTTAAAATGTTCTCTTAGCAACTTTCAAGTCATACGCTGTGAGCAGCTCCACTCACCCCTGCACAGTCCATCTCTTGCACTTACTTTTTCTAACTTGAATTTTGCATTCTTGGGCCAGGGTCTCCTCCACACCCTTCCCTCTCAACAGAGTTTTACAGATGTAGTTTCTCTCTTGTTCTTTCCCATTTTTATTAGTGTATGTTTGCAATACCTAATAATTACATTCACTTGGGAACATTTGCACATATACATAACACATGTTGATCAGTTGTTCCACAATCTTTGGATTTCCATAGTTTCAAATGAGGAGTCTACAGTAATTCGATTTATCATTGTCTGTGTTTGATGTATCGGGATTTCTTAGTGACCTCCAAATGTTTTTCTCTTTCTATTGAATTTTTACAATATGATTATGACTTGTGTAGGTGTGGCTCTCCCCAAGTATATACTGTTTATACATTGGAATTTTAAGCGGATTTGTTTGTTTTTGAACAAATTGGAGAAGTTCAGTTTCATAAATTCTCAAAGTATTTTTCTCATTCTTCCTTTCACTTCTAGGACTCAGATTTCTGGAGTCTTGGAAACTGTCTCTAAAGTTCTTAGACTATGTAGCTTATTGTTTTATTCTATTTCTTTCTAATCTTCACACCATTTGATTTGTGTTGATCTAATTTCTGTGTTCACAGATTCCTTCCTTTCCATTCTATAGTTATTAAACTCATCTATTGAAGATTTTGTTATTGTGTTTTACATTCTACAGTGACCAATCTGTTGTCTGTTACCTATTTCTATAGAGATCTGCCATCTTCATATTTATTATGTGTGTGTGATCAATACAGTTTCCATCAACTTAGTGTAACACGTATGTAGATATCTGATATTTCTAGCATCTGAGTCATTCAAGGTTGGCATCCGCTGCTCATCTTTTTCCTTGTTCTTTGGGTGTCAAGTGACCTTGAATATTGTCATGGGAAGTTCAGATGTGATTTGATATGGATTCTTATATATGTTCAAATGCTTGATTTTGTGTGTGAGAGATGCTGAGGTCTGAACCTATGATCTTCTCAGTACACCGCATTCCCAGCTTTTTAAAAATGGTTTTTTAAGATTTTGCGGCAGGTTCTCACTAGGTCACTAAGTTGTCCAAATTGCAATCTTGCAATCCTCTGGCCTCAGCCTCCCACAGTGCTAGAGTTATTGCCTTGTACCACCACGCCTAGCTTTGAGATTATTGATTTTTTTAAGAAGTCAATTATATCTAAGACTCAAATCCAGTTGATCATACCTGTAGTTAATAGTGTTTTGTATGCCAATTCATCTCACTGAGCTTGGGGTGTATGATTTCTACCCTTCCTCTATGTCTTAGGAGTTAGTCACAAATGTTTGTAAAGCTTAGGCACAGTGTTGGGAACTCCATAATTTTGCTTATCTTTCATTTCTAATGTTTCTCTCTAGCTTCCCAGCAGCCTTGCTGATTCCAGAGATGTCTACTAAATCAGGAAATCTATGTAGGTTTTCCATCAAAATCCCAGCTTCTTGTTGCTAACTGTGACCATGGCTGCTTCTCTAACAAAATTGTAAATGTGCATACAAACACACATGCGTGCGCGCACACACACACACACACACACACACACACACACACACACATACACACACACACACACACACTAGGGTGGTTTATGGAGGATGGAGAAACTCTTAGGAGATGTAGGAATTCACCCACTACATACTTTCTCTAGTAATCACAAGAGCTCTCAAATAGTCATTTGGTTTGTTTTAAAGGTAATTCAGAGTTCATACTTGGTACTCCTGGATATGTGAGTGTGTTAGGAGCTCACTTTTTCATGCTAAATGCAGTCCCATTGTTTTCAAACTGTCCTAGCACAGGTGCAGAAATTTCCACCTTCTCCATGCTGTATGTGATTGGTGCGTGTTGGATTTCTCATTAATTTTGGTAGGTACGGCTGGTCCAAATGCAGCATTACTTAGAGAAAGTATTTTCATACTTCCTACATTTTACACTCTTTGTGTGAATTTCTGTGAGACAGGATATTGAAATTCAAGTTTTCACCCAAACACCAAGCTCTATAGAGGCTGCTTATAAAGTGAAGTAGACCAGAACAGAAAAGCAGAATTTGAAAGTAAGTGGCTGAAACCTGATTTCCTGACCCGTGATCACCCCACTCAGGGAATTCTGGCACTAATCTCTGTTTCTGTACTTTGAGAGAATGCCAAGGGAAGTAAGATTTCATGATGAAATTTCTTTGACAAGAACTGATGTGGTTCCCGAGGTACCTGGTTCCCACCGTGGAGGACAGAAATGTAAGGATGCTGTTTCTTTCATGTCAAGGCTGGAGACCGAGATTTCACAGCAGCTTCACAGAGAACAGAGATATGAGAGAAGCTGGGAGAGGGGTTGATCTTGTGAAGGTACGAGGTGAGCAGACGAGACAGATTGGCCAAGTACTCTGCTGCTGGGAAGGAAGGTGAGTTATTGCTGCTTCCAGGAAGAATCTGAATTCCCTGCTGTTTGCAGTTCAAAGAGGAGCCAGTATTTTATGGGATCTGGATGTCGACTCCACCCGAGAGAGTCAACCTGGTTCTGTTGCTGGCTTCTCAAGAGCACCATAGGAAGAGGTGGTGAGCTCCAAAATAAAAGAAAGCGAGGTCTCCTGAGATGGGGTGGGGGCACGTGGACAGTTGGAGCCTCCAAAATTCTGCAGAAGTCCCCGAGGTAGTCAGGGTCATCATCTGTCAGCACCAGCGACCTCTAGGGTACCTTGTGTCAGTACCAGCCTGGCAAAACCTTACCACAGATTTGTTTCTTGATTTACTGGAGTGATGAATTAAGAGAGAAAAACTAGGGATTCTTTCTCCACTGCAGGTAAGTAAAGTTATTTTTGGAGATAATTAAAACTTTCGGAGCTTGACACCTGAATGTCTGAATTGAGGCTACGTTTAAGAAGTAAAGAAACGAGAGACACCATTATTATCTAAGAATAGTGCCATCAGGCACAGGACCGAGCTAGCACCGAGATACACTGAGATCAGAACAAAGTCTTCTGTCTCACATACTGCTGCACGTTTGGCCGTGCAGTGTGCTGACATTATACACGTTCATAGGGAGCAGGACGAGCAGTTGATTTTGTTTGAGGATCCTGGAGAACCGCAGGAAGAATGACATTTGCAGTGAGTCTTAACAAAGCTGAGTAATAAAGAAAGCAAGCATCTGAGCCCAGCCCTGGATTTTTGAACTGTAGTGTGTTATGAGCGATGAGGAGAATGAAGCGCTGTGTAAACAGAGGGGCTTGATGATGAATGAGGCGGGTCTGCAGAGGTGGCCTGAAGCCAGCGTATTAAAATACCGGCTACCGTTTGGATTTAAAGCAAAACAATAAGACAGTGGGAAGCTGTCAGCGTCTTAGCATTGGGACTGTTGGAGAGACAGTGCGTTTAGAGAGCTGATTTGATCAACACGCATGCAGAAACGGTGAGGAGGGAGAGCAGAGGAGCTTGCGTGATGAACAGCCGAGGAGCAGGAGGAGTTGAGGGGTGATTCCAACGGGCAAGGACAAAGGGCAGGGTGCGGGGAGCCACTGGCCTCGGGGACCAGCAGACAGGGTAACCAGGCCCCTGAGAACAGCACTCGGATTGTCTGCTTTCCCAGCCTCCCACCTGCTATGAGGAAGCTAAAGCCAAACTGGGGAAAGCAGGAGCTTTGGCTTTAAGGTCTGGGAGATGAAGCTGGCTTTGAAGATGTTCGGTCTGCTCACCTGCCGGGAAGCCACATGCAGATTCCGTCAGCTCGGGGCTAAGTGCCGTGCGAAAGACGGATACTTAGGAGTTCGGTTTCAGGTGTGGGCAGAATGATATTGTGGAAAATCACTGTGAAGCAAGAAAGGAGGCAGATATAATAAACAAGGAAAGAAAGCTACGTGCAGAGTGCAAAACAAGAGAGTTGTGTAGCAGGCATCCAGGAAGGAAACAGATTCTCAAAAACAGGACGCTTACTACAGAGTCAAACGGAGCACATGAGCAGAGCGTAGTGCTGGGGAGTCAGCTGTATGTCACTAGAGGCCTGTGACACAGGGACTTCAAAGGGTTAAGGCAGTGGGGGTCAGGACTCCCAGAAAATGAATGAAAGACCACAAGTACAAAGCAATGACTACTACTCAGCTACCTAAGCCAGCACTAAGGATGGAGCTGGGTGACTCTCCTGGTGCCAGTTTTAGAATGAAAGAGTTAAAAGTATGTAACACTAAAGCTCGTAGAGATAATAAGACTAGAAACCACTAGAGACGGGGAGAGAAAAATGTGTTCAGTGATGCCCTCTGCAATTCGTGCGATGATTAAGAACATCACTGATGGATAACAGCGTCTAATATGTTCCTACAGAGCGTGTTTCCTTGTCTTTGTACCCTTTGGCCAACTTTAATTAATTTAGATCTAGAGATAATACTTGACAATTGTGTAAGAAAAATTGGGCAGATAAAGCGTGATGCAAATATCAGTGCTGTGGAGGATCTGAACAGAAGAGGGGAGGCTTTCCCTTAGACTTCTGTGCTACTTTACTTCTAAATTATTTTTCTTGAGGGCCTAGGAGTTACTAGCGGCCCTTCCTAGGGCTCCTCCGGTCTGCCTTCTTGTGGTTTCCAGGTGTTGCAATCTAGGTTCGGTTGCTCAGTGATTTTGGGGGGCTGGAGAAAGGGCAGTAGGTTTGAGACTAAATGGATTTCAGCTTGAATCCTGATTTATATGCGACCTTGAGTCAGAAGGAACTGCTTAGCCTCTGTCTCCCCAGAGGAGATGCTAACAGGGCAGGGCCTCCCCTTTCTAGGGGTTGGTGACAGATGATTCGTGTCAGGAGGTGCCACTGTGCTTTGCAGATGGCAGAGATCGCAAATGGTAGAAGTGAGTACTGAACGTGGTCCAGCGTTCCCAGAGTGTCCCTCAGGGCACTTGTTTGGTGATATTTTCTTGGGGAACAGAGGAATACCACAGGCTCACCATTCCATCAAAGGTTTGGACCAGGTGGACAATGGACACTCTGACTGTGTAGTGAATATTGCAGACTTTGCACTGTATTTGGGTATGAAGAGAGAATGTTTTCAGGTGACTGATTTAGGTCTTATTATATTCTCAAGGGCCTGGGTTTTCTGTCCTCTGACTCTCTCTCTCTCTCTCTCTTCTCTCTCTCTCTCTCTCTCTCTCTCTCTCTCTCTCTCTCTCTCTCTCTCCTGTGCACATGTGTGTGCTTTTGTGTGTGACGGAGTTGTTGGTGACACATTTTGTCATCCTCTTTCACTTTAAGTCACTTTCAAGGCAATGCAGTGTTGTTTTGGTAAATTAATAAACACTAAGTCAACCTAAAGGTGCAAACACCTTAGCAGAGCTGAAATTTCCTTTGCTGAAGATGTCATAGTCTTCAGCCTGAGCGAGGAAGGGAACTTCTGCCTCCTCTCCGGGCTCTGTGCTATCATCTGAGACCTCGGTAGGGATGACCATGACTCTGCCTGGACACTTGGCAACCTGTTGCAGCCAGGAGCTCCAGTTCAAGGTCATGGTTGGGGACGTCCATGACCTTTTTCATGTCACCGTTCCCTCGAGGCTCCATCACTGACTTACCCTCCCTATGGCTCTTGCTGAACCCGCAAACTCCCTGCTGCTGGATCAGGCCTGCCAGCTGTGATCAGAGGCTCGGTTCTGCTTCACCTTGACCCAGGCAAGGCCTTTGGAGCTTCGCTCCTGGCCGCCTTCCACCCACACCCTGGAACCCTACTGACCCCCTCCGCACCTGCCATATGAGAGCCGAAAGAAAGGCTTGCAGTGGTCCATGTTGCTTTTGGGACCTGCAGTAAGGGCATCTGTTCCAGAAATTCCACACGTAGACCCCCATCGTCCTCCTTGGGGTTTCTTCTACTCTTCTATCCTCTTCTGGAGGCCAGGGACTAAGGTCCTTGTGTCTGATGCCCTCTGACTGTCATGCTCACCTCTCTGAGCCAAGAGAGCATCTCCTCCCCGCACCTCTGCTGGGAATGAGGGTGTCCCCATGTCTCCCCTGCCTTCCGTCCTCCAGCGGGCCACTGTGCCTAGTGCAGGATCCACGCCTCCCCCAGTGCAATAAACTCCCTGTTACTCATTGTCGGGAAACCATAGAGCCTCACGATTTAAGACACAGGACACTGTAAAGGTTCGTCTTTTATTACCAGGCAAAATTGTGCATGTTGAGGGGGTCCCTGCAAGGTTCCCCCACGTGTGTATATGGCACCCTGATCCTGTCCTCCTCCGTCTGTCCGCTCCGCTCACTTGCCTGCATCACCGCCCCCAGATCCCCATCTCATCCCTACTGGTTTCGTGATCTCTCATCTGCTTTCCTATCTTGGTACTGTCGTTTCCACAATAATAATTACAAGAAACAGGCAAGCCTTATTCTCTGGTGTCTGGCCGATGTCACTTCACCTAACATAATATCCCCCCATTCCACCCGTCTTCTTGCAGATAACATAGTTTCATTCTTTTTTACACACTATGTTGTCTTTATCCATTCATCTGTTGACAGATCTAGCTTGATTATTGTGAATAATGTCACAATGAACTTGGAAATTTAGGGTATGTTTATATGCTGACTTCTTTGTCCCTGGACAAAAGTGATATAGCCAGAACATACAGGAGGTCTATTTTTAATTGTTAAAGAAACTGCATATGGTTTTCCATAGTGGCTGTACTAATTTACATTCCCAGCAGCAGTGTATTTTGAGGTGTAATCTGAATTTTTACATCTACTTAGCCAATTTTACCCAAATCTATGTGTTTGCAGAGCCCTGCCTCCGGCACAGGCTGCCACTTACTAAGACCTCGGCTCTTGTCCATCAGCTCCAAATCTGTGTCTCTGTCCTTGGCTTAGTGAAGGTGAGGCTGGGCCTCCGCACACCTTGTGTTTTAGCTGCTCCGTCCCCACAGCTTCCAACAGGGGCACTGCAGGAGACCCCTGCTGAGGAGGGCCGGAGATGCCCGCTCCTTCCAGGCCGTTTCCTTGGCGTCTGCTCCACTCCCCCTTCCTGCTAGCGTCTCCCCAGACGGGTCCTTCCTGCAGGAGCAGCTGGAGTCAGTCTGCGGTTTCTCCCACACTTCTGCAGCAGATATTATCCTCTTTCTCCCCAAGACACCAGAACCACCAGTGACACCAGTAACGTCAGACTCCTTGGGACCCTCCTTTGAGCACAGATGCCAGCATCAGCAATCTGGGTCCAACTCCACAGTGGACCCTCTCCAGAACTTCTAAACTTGAACCGTTTTGCTTTGTTTTCTGTTTTCTCCCGCTCTTGAGTGCGAGTGGCTTCCTGTGCACGTTACCTCCATGATGCATAGTGAGAAACTTTATGCAATTCTGCATATTTAATATTCTCTGTTAAAAACCTGGTGTGATTTTAATCTCCTGAGTGGATCCAAACCGATCTCAACTCCATGAGAACAGGTGTTTGAAAGC